CTTTGTATTTCTGACTGTACAAAAGTAGATGCATTATTTCTATAAATAAGATCTTGAACTACAAATAAGAAGTAAAAAAAAATTCAATTAGTCCAAATGGGAATAATGTATGATGAATAATAATCTTAATTCTCTTGATGAATTTGAGACATTTTATGTATATATTTTACTTGCATTCAAAAATAGTAGAGGAAAGTTTGATTACTCTTGGAGGAATAATTAAAAAATAAATTTGCCTGCCAACACAGAACATTTTATCCACAAACATAGAAAAGAACTAACAAGAAAGTAATTCAGTGACAAAGGATGATCTTGAACTCACTTCCTCCTATAGATACAACACATCTACAACTACATATGGAATAACTCCTTCTAAAGGAGACCTAGAAACTGGTTGACAAAGCCGTCACATGGGATACCACTGAGCTAGGTAGAAGAAGGAAAGATACAGTCTTGAAAAAAGAGAGAGACTGAGAGAGAGAGAGAAAGAGACAGAGACATAGACAGAGAAAAGGAAAAGTAAAACACCCCAGGCATGACATTCCATAGTCAGGACGTATCTCAAATGTAAGAAACTTCCAAGAGAAGCAAGAATTTTGAGCTCCACATTAGGCATCCTAACCCTTAAATTCTGCACAGGACAGATAAGCCCCCCAAGCACCTGTATTTGAAAACCAATAGGGACTAAATCCAGGAAAATGATAAAACTATAGGGAAAGGAAAACCTTCTTTTAAAGGGTTTTCACATAGGCTCATCTGACATGGAAACCAGAACAAAAATTCCATATCAGAAAGTGTATACACCATATATGTGGAGAGCCAGTTTCTCATCTTGTAGTGCCTACCAAAAAGGCAGAAGACTGTCATTAGGAACTCAGACATTGGAAGCAGCCATTTTTGCTTTCTCCTCCAGCCCTAGTGCTCCCAGGCCTGCCAGGCAGCATTTGGGAATTCTCTCTCCAGTCTGCTAATGCCAGAGGGCACACCCTGCCAAGAGCTGTGACAAGTAATCTAACTGAAAAGAGTTCAAAATAAAGGTTGTAAAGATGCTTAACAAACTCAGGAGATGAAGGGATGAATACAGTAAGAACTTTAACAAATATATAGAAAATATAAGAAAACACTAATCAGAACCAAATAATAAAATAGCAAAAATGAAAAAAAAGAAATACACAGAGTTTATAAACAGCAGATTACATGGTATAGAAGAATGCTTCAGCATTCTGGAGGACAGGGGAGTGGAATTCACCAAAACTGAGAAATAAAAAGAAATAAACAATAAAGATAGCTTAAGAGACCTCAGGGATGACATCAAACATGCTAATACTCACATTCTATATGTTCCAAAAGGAGACAAAAGAAAGAAAAAGGGGCAGAAAAGTTACTGGAAGAAATAATAGCTGAAAACTTCTATAACCTGGGGAAAGAAAAAAGGACATTGAAGCCCAGGTTACACACAAAATTCCAAAAATGATAAAGAGGCAAAGAGATATGCATCAAAACACATTATAATTAAAATGTCAAAAATGAAACATAAAGACAGAATACTAAAAGCAGTAAGAGAATAGTGATTAGTTACATGTAAAGGAATCACTATTACACTATCAGTTACCTTTTTAGTAGACTTTGTAGACCAGAAAAGAGTGTCATGATATATGAAAATGCTAAAAGGAAAAAAGAAAAATAATACAACCAAGTATACTCTATCTAGCAAAATTATCATTAAGAATTTGAGAGATAGTATTCCAGATAAACGAGCTTCATAAGAATTATTCAAAAGAAATCTTTAAACAAATAAATAAAGATAATAACTAGAAAGGAGACATTGCAGGAAACAAAATTTTTTGTGGGAAAAGCAATGAGGTAAAAAAGCAGTGACTTCCACTTAACGAATTTGGATGCCTTTTATTTCTTGTTTCATTTTGTTGTCTGATTGTTGAGGTTAGGACTTCCAACACTATGTTGAAGAAATGTAGTGAGAGTGGACATCCCTATTGGGTTCTGGATCTTAGGGGAAAACCCTCAGTTTTTCCCCATTGAAGATTATATTACCAGTGGCCAATTCATATATAGTTTTTAGTATTTTAAGGAATGTTCTTTCTATCCAGATTTTCTTGAGGTTTTTTTTTTTCTTTCACGAAACGATGCTGTATTTTGTCAAATGCTTTCTCTGAATCTATTGACAGGATGTATCAAGTTGACTGATTTGCAGATAGTGAACCAACCCTGCAGCCCAGAAATGAGTCCTGAATAATACTTTCAATATACGGTTGAATTTGATTTGCTAGTATATATTTGAGAATTTTTGCAAATGTTGTGTGCACTCTGTTGTTGCATTTCTGGCTGCTCTATCCCACTGGTCAGTCATCTGCAGAGCACCTCCTTGCTTGTAGTGGTAGAGTGTTTGGGCCTGTAACCAGGTGTGCTGTGATTTGTTTGTTGAAGTAGCCTTGGAGAAAAGGAAAATGGGTGCAAAACCTGATTCTAAAAAGAAAAAAAATATATATATATAAATAAAAGGGGAGAAAAGAATACCAGAGAATTAAAACAAGCAAACAAACAAAACAAAACAAAAAAACAACAACTATAAGGCCAAATCCGAAAAAGAGAGTGGAAAATGAAGAAGAAAGAGAAAAGGTGGAAAAATAAGAGAATAAAAACTGCCAAATCAAATAAATATGCATATGCATATATGCCATATATATATATATATGCCTAAATCATACATGCCTAAATCATATGCCTATATAAAAATATATATATATATATATATATATATATATATATATATAAATCAAAAAGAATCACAAAGAAAAGAACAGAAAAGAAATAGAAAGAAAAAGAAAAAGAAAAAAACAACAACAAAAACAGTTATCAGTTGGTGACTGGAACAGGTGGCTGTGCTCTTCTGGAAGAGGTCCTCTGGTTGGATTAGTGTCAGTGTTGCTCCAGAAGATAGGCAGTTGCCAGGCACAGAAGGGTACGGTTTGGTGTAGGTAGTCCCTCCTACAAGGGATGAAGGGAAGTGGGGCATGCTGTGCTACTCTACGAAGTCCCAAGGTGTTGGTGATGGGGAGAAAATTGGCAATAACCCAATCTCTCCTCCCCAGACCAGGTGTCTCAAACCATGCTTTTTAGGCAGCCCTCACAGTGTAGTGAGGGAGGTCAGTTTGCCCTGCTCCACAGTTCTCCCATGCCTTTTAGGTGCTTGGCTGGGATTCAGAACCCACAATCTTATGGGAACTGGCACTGCATGGACCCTGTTTTGCGGTAGAGCTACTCTGCCCTGCTGATGAAAGGCCTTTGCCTGGCATCCGGCAGGGTCTTTTGTCCTTGGGGAGGCAATAAACCCTCTTCTTGCAGTGCTCAAGGAGGGGGACTGTGATTGTCCATTGGGTCTTTGAGATCTGTGCTAGTGTTCTGGTGCCAGCTCCCTCCTCCCCAGAGTGCACACCAGGACTCCCAGCTTAAGTCTGGAGAAAATCATGCACTTTTGAAACCTCTGAGTTTCAGCTCCTAAGACTGTTTGCAAAATAGAAACTGACACTCTCCTTATTTCTTATTCCCTAGTCTGTAGTCCAGAGAGGTTTTCCTCATGTGCTAACTTGATGTTGACTTTTTCCAGTTATCTCTTTCTCTCCCTTTTGTCTCTACACAGAAAGGTTCCCCTCCCTTCCTTTGCTGTGTTCTTTTATCTCCTCCAAATCACATATACACACCTCAATCCTGCCAAGCTGTCTTCCTCCAACTGTTGATATCCTTTTGCCATTACAAAGATTGATTCCCTGGGTGTTCCAAGTGACATGATCTCAATACAGTTGTGTTTGAGGGTCAAGGAAAATCCCAGCACTCCTACTTCTCAGCCATCTTAATGCCCTCAAATTTATTTTTTAATGATGTAATTTTCTAGAAAATTTATGTTGTACACAGGATGTCATACTTATGTTTTAAAATGGGAGATATTATAAATATTGTTCTATTTTTTTCTAAACATAATTTTAATAGCTTCATATTGTATTTCATTATTAGTTATATTATGCAGTACATAGTTTATTTTTATTTTTTAATTTTTTTTATTAAAAATTTTTTAACGTTTATTTATTTTTGAGACAGAGAGAGACAGAGCATGAACGGGGGAGGGGCAGAGAGAGAGGGAGACACAGAATCAGAAGCAGGCTCCAGGCTCTGAGCCATCAGCCCAGAGCCCGACGCGGGGCTCGAACTCACGGACCGTGAGATCGTGACCTGAGCCGAAGTCGGACGCTTAACAGACTGAGCCACCCAGGTGCCCCTATTTTTTAATTTTTTAACCTTTGTTTATTTTTGAGAGACAGAGAGAGAGAGTGATCAGGGGAGGGGCAGAGAGAGAGGGAGACATAGAATCTGAAGCAGGCTCCAGGCTCTGAGCTCTCAACACAGAGCCTGACGTGGGGTTCAAACTCATGGAGCATGAGATCATGACCTGAGCTAAAGTCGGATGTTAAACCAACTGAGCCACCCAGGTACCCCATATATAGTACATAATTTAAAGCAAGGAAACATTTGGATGTTACTATTAGCATTCTTAAATAATTCCTTTGTAATTAAGTATTTAGTGACAATTTATCATTCACTCGCTCAGTTCATTAATCACAGACTCAGTTAGTAGTTATTGACCAACTCAATATTCTCATCTGTAAAATTAGAATAATATTCTCTAACACATGTAATTTTTATGACATAAACAATGCGATTTATATAATTTGAATTTCAATCCTAGGCAAAGGGAAAACACAATTAAATTGTTGTTAAGATCATATGATTGTTCTACATTGTCATCATGTCCTGTATTATCCCTTATGCTGACAGTGTATTTGGGCATCTTTATTTTAAATCTGTTCATTAATTAACTACAGCTTGCTATGTTAATTAAACTGATGTAACTTTTTACTGATTAGAAGACCACTACCATGCTATCACTGTCTAAGTGATGATTCTCTTGTTTTAAAAATTACTTCCAGGGCAATTTCATGTGATAGGACCAAGAACACCAGTCATTGCTGTGGTTGGGGAGGAGGCTGTGTTGTCCTGTCACCTCAGCCCATCAATGGATGCTCAAGACATGGAGGTGACATGGTACCGAAATGATCTTTCAGGCCTGGTACATCAATATAGGACTTCCCAGGATCATTTGGAGCACCAGATACCAGAGTACCAAGGGAGGACAGAGTTCCTGAAGGACAATATTACCAAAGGGCACGTTGCCCTAAGGATCTACCCCATCCGACCTTCAGATGGAGGGGAGTATGGGTGTTTCTTTGAAAGCTCCACATTCTACACTGAAGTACAATTTGAAATGTTGGTCACAGGTAAGTCACTGCAATGAAAACTCCTACACAAATCGTATTATTTTTTTCATCAGCAGTCTAAAGTATTGGTGTATATGGATAGAGGTAGCTAAATCTATACAAACACTATGATTGAATGTCAAGAAAGTTAAATATGTAAAACAAATCTAATCAGTGTGCCCCATCGTTCTTGGGTAGTAGTGAAAATCCATTTTTATCTTTGTCGACATAATTACTTTTAAGAAAAGAAAGAGTAGGGATTATTGTATGTTCTATCTCAGAAGAACCCCAGAAATGTAACTTTGTCTTCTAAGTCTCAGAAGGAAGTAAAAAGAAGCAGAAAATATCTGACCAGTCTGCCATCCAGTCTAGGTTTCTGCACTTCACTGCTGCCCACTCTGGGAAAAGCCCAGTGAAATGTGGTCTTGCCTATTCTTAATATACATCATTGTTTATTCAGATCCTGCATAATTTATCCCCTTATATCTCACTCCTGTTCTGTTATTATACACACACACACACACACACACACACACACACACACACACACAATTGTACTGCAAGAGTGAAAGTGTAAGGAAGGACTGTAATTCAACAATACGCTGAGACTGAAACAACATTTTTTCTATAAACAATTTAGGACCTTGCACTGAGCTCAGATGAAGAGTTTTTGCATCATCTCTCTTACAATGGACTTAAGAGAAATGATATTGACCTTCCTCTAAAAGGAAGGAAATTTGCTTTCCTCCAGAACTCCCTGACCTGTGTGCAAATGCTCCTGCCTGCTATTTAGTAACAATTCTTCATATGCATAAGTAACCCTGATTCCGTATTTTTACAATAAAGGGTGTGCTCTTATATAATTCTTCAGATATTAAAGGGGGTAAATTGCAAAGACACTTGCCTGCAAGCTTTAAATACCTGTCTGAGTCAACATTTTTGTAACCAGACACTTTGATCCACACATCCTCTGGTAATGTTTCTGCTGAGTCACGGTAAGAATAGTAACCTCCTTCTGATATTCCTTCCTGAGTTTACAGTATATCTGCTTTTTATGTAAGTATACTGGGGATCCTTGCTGCAAGGGTCTATTGTTGCAAACGAGTGTAACTCCACTGGAAGCATTTAATCAGAACCTAAGAGGCATGAGACCAATTATATTCATCCATTCATTAATTTTTGCCTTTTGAGCAGGGATCTTTCATTCTATTGTAACTTGTGAAGTATTCCAGTTATTAGACAACCACTTCTAGAATCCTACAAACATTTCCTAAAACTTGAATAAACCTTTATCAAGGGCTTTGAATCTGGGAGTCGCTTGCTACTTTGCTACTTCAATAAAAGTATGTCATAACTCAGGATCATCTCAATTTTCTTTATCTCTGACTTACTTGTTCTTTGTGCAGAGTAATTCTACCACTAAATAGAAATCACCTTTCCACTATTCTTCCATTTTACCCCAGAGTCTTTAGAAGAATGCATTTCATATCTTGAAGCTCTTGACACAAAATTCTAACATCGTGCTTCTGCTTGAAATTTTTTTGAGCTTCAAAAATGGTAATTTGTTGACACAATTTTTAGAATCTTCATCACAAACTCCTGTGCCTCGTAGATGAGATTTTCTGATACAGATTTTCTGATATGATTTTTCCAAGTCATATATGCAAGATAACTTTTATTTCCTACCCAAGGATATATTTTTTAATTAAACTACTATAAACCCTGTGTCAAGCTCTTTAATTTGCATTGTGGACATATATTACAAGCAATACGCTTGAATTCTACACATCTTTTTATGAAGTCCAGAAGCCCTTAAGCCATCCAAAGAAATTTGTTTTCCCTTCTCTTTTTCCTGTGGGAGGTAGAAATATCTGGATTTTATATTCCAACCAAGTCCAATATTTGTAGATACAACCTTTCACATTTGAAATTAATGAAAAAAAGATGTACTTCTAAATTCTTAAGAAATCGTATCACCTTGTGGCCTATTATAATATAAACTTGTATATAAATATTGACATAATAAGTGATCACAAATATGTTTGAAGAATCTAGACTTTCCCCCCAAAATGTCTTTGTGCTCCCTAATTGTAGGTGAGCTGCTTTTTTTTGCAACATTTTGTTGATCATAATGGGACCCATCTCATCTTTGAACCTGCTATCCTAATTCATGATACATCAGAAAAATAAAGTGCTAGGTTGATTCAGTGATCTTACTGCCTCCAGATGAATTATCCATGACCTTCTGTACTTCTTTCTAAGATGGATCCTTTTACATTCAGTCCCGTAACTACTGCAATGTAGTGTCTAGTGCTGTGTAGCATTATAGTTTTCATTTGTGCCAGATTTTTATACCAAGCCCTTGATTTTCTCTAGCTGAATAACTCATATTTTCCTGTAATTTGCTTAGACACTGTGACTTATGGCATGAATTTCTTTAATCTGTCTCTCCTTCCTGGAGGAGTGACATTTTCCCCAGTGTCAGTAATCACTTTGTGATAAAAATGCAGTCTCTGCAGGCAAATCCATAGTACTGTACCCTCTTCTAGAGAAAAGATTCTTCTATACCTTGAGTCAAAACAACCAACTCATTCCCTTTGCTGTTTCAATATCCAGGAGGTTGTAGTGAACAAGAACCCCTACATTAAATTCTACTTACAATCAATAAGCATCACTGTCTTCTACTATCAAGCTAATTTTACACTTGTAGGGTACAGGTAAGCAAATCCATCAGTTAATAATTATTATCAAAACCACAAGTATAGGTTGCAAACTTAACCAAAATATTTTCTAAAAGATAAGAAATAAAATTGAAGGCCCTTATATTAGGTAGCATAATCATATGGTCTCATAATGGTGAAAACCATAGGTTTTCTCTCCCTGTCATGGTCATAAGACAATAAAAAAACCAGACTCTCGAAATAGGTAAAAAATGTTTTAAAGTCAGCTTGTGCTATGTCAGAAACTATGTAGGCCTCAACTATGCCAGTTAGAAACCCACGATGGTAGGAGAACAATGGTGACCTGGTTTCCTCTCCTGCTGACAATCTTTTCTCCACTTTGACTCCTCTGTCTTGACTTGATCATTCATAAGAGAACATTAATGGCTAAGACGACACTTGGAATACATGTTTCAAGCCTTTGAAATTATCCATACCCACCACCCTTAATTTCCACTCCTATTTTTAATTGATGCTGGACTCAGACGTTGTTCTACCCTTAACCCCCACATTTAATAAGGCAAACAGAATGATGTAATTCGAAGTACAACTTTACTCTTCTCTCTCCAGAAAATCAGAATCAAATTAAGCATTTATTGTGTTTCTAAAAAGACCTGCTAAATATAATCTTGTTTTTATAAACTACCCATCCTCAACCACATTTCCCTCCAACTCTTAGCAAGTAGTCTGAATACAAGAAATACAGTGGGATGATGGCCTTTCAATTGGAAGGATCCCAGCAAGGAAAAACATCTTTTCTTTGTACTCTTAGTTAATTAACTCTTTAAGATGAATAATATTTATTCAATACAACCCTGTAAGCACTTTATATGAAGGAATTTGTAGACCATTCATATGAGTTGAGACTCTCTTAATCCTGGTTTTACAAAACAAGTATGGAAGCACAGAGAGATTGAGTCGTTAGACATATTGGTTCAGTTGTGCCAGCTAGTACAAGTGTAACTCTTTGACTCTATAGCTTATCCTCACAACTATTCTTCTCTACTGATTTTCAAAGCCACTGTATTCTAAAAATTCCATGTATGAGTACTAGCACTGGATGGTACCATAGTGCCAGCTAAGTCATCACTGGTTTGAAACACTATATGCTAGTCACCTCATGGTACTTCTTCAGGATATGGCCATCCATGCAATATCATATGACATTATATAATTTTCCTTCATCAACTTCACAGAAGGACTGTCAAAAATCAACAAAAATTGGATGACCCAAAAACAATAGAAATTTATATTTTCACAATTCTGGAGGCCAGAGTCCACAATCAAAGCGTCATCAGGGTTATCGTCCCAGGGAATAATATAAGGAAAATACTTCCTTGCCTCTTCCAGTTTCTTGCGGTGCTAGGCATTTCTTGGATTTGATAGGATCTTTCCCATCTCTGCCTCCATCTTCACAGGGACCTTTTCCCTGTGTTTCTGTTTCCAAATTTCTTTCTGTTTACATAGGCCACAATCATTTTGGATTAGGACCCTCCTATTCCTGTATAATTTCATCTTTACTAATACATGTACAGAATGGTTTCCAAATAAACGCATAGATTTTGAAGTTTAGGGGTTTAACATATCTATCAGAAGACAAAATTAAACCCAAATCAAACCCAAACCCAAAATTAAATCCAAGTTGTATCCCAGGAAATTTGATTCTTTGTTTTGTTATAGACTGCATTGGTTATTGTACATAATACTGTACAATGCTACACTACTATACAATGAACTTCAACACATAGTAGATTAAACCAGTTTCTATTCTTCTGAGTTATAGGAAGAAAGGATCTAGAACCGGAAGAGTGAGTATAAACCGTGAAATTCACGTATTTCTCTTATATTGATGTTTTTTTCCATATCCAGAAAATTCACTTTTGACAATGACCCAAAGCCATTCTACTCCAGCCCTTGAGAGAGAGAAAGAATGAAGGAAAAAGTGTATCTCCTTCCTTTGAGGGAAATATTCTAGAAGGCACACACATCATTTCCCTTTTACAACACTTACACCAGCATATCAAGGCTACTCCTAAATGTAAGTGGGAGTTAGAACATGCAGTTGTAACACGAACTGGCATATGTATAATTAAAACACTATTCCCCAAATTGTTCTATCCAAAATGGTAGCTACTAGCTGCATGTGGTATTTGAATTTACATTTGCTTATATAAATTTAATTGATTAAAATAAGAAATCCATTTTCTAACAATATTTCAGGTTCTCTGTAGCCACCTATAGCTAGTTTGTTTGGACTACATTGATGTTGATAGCATTTCCAAACTTAAAGGAAGTTCTTATTAAAAATAGCTTCTTTAGGGGCGCCTGGGTGGCGCAGTCGGTTAAGCGTCCGACTTCGGCCAGGTCACGATCTCGCGGTCCGTGAGTTCGAGCCCCGCGTCAGGCTCTGGGCTGATGGCTCAGAGCCTGGAGCCTGCTTCCCATTCTGTGTCTCCCTCTCTCTCTCTGCCCCTCCCCCGTTCATGCTCTGTCTCTCTCTGTCCCAAAAATAAATAAAAAACGTTGAAAAAAAATTTAAAAAAAATAAATAAAAATAGCTTCTTTAGAATTAGAGATTAAAAGATATTTGTAAAATGACTACCAATTTGCTACAGAAAACCACAAACTGTTGTGTTCCTTTAAATTTAGAGGCTGCAAATGAAATCATAGAGTGTTTGTCTACTCAACTTTAAGAATCATCAGATAAAATACTAGGTAATGTTTCAAATGTGAGGGAAGAAAAGAAAAGAATACAGACATGTTTTGTATGTGGGTACTTTTAAAATGTTGATACAGCTGATTTTTTTTCACTAAAGTTCTTTGCAGTTATTTTTCTAACTCCTGTTTTATAAATAAGAAAACTGAGTTTCATAGAAGTTAATTAAAATGTAAACTGGCAAGAAAACTTTTGGAGATACATACTTTCTCTGTCTCTCTTTGGCTTTCCTAGTCTCAGGTATGGCTCCTCATATTCACATTGAGCCTGGCAATAACAGAGACATTAAGATGACCTGCATATCCACTGGGTGGTTTCCAGAGCCTGAGATACAATGGAAGGACCCTCAAGGATTGCACTTGGCACCAGCCTCTGAGACAAAAAGAATAGAAGAAAATGGTCTGTTTCATGTGGAATCATCTATCACAATGGATAGAAGTTCAAGAACAGAAGTATCTTGTGTTATAAGGAACCTAATACTCAGTGTGGAGAAGGTGGTGCTTGTCTCCATGGCAGGTCAGTTTCCTCCAAAGTTGATATATTGGGATATCACTGCTGATCAGGAAGGTCTTAATGGCAAAGACCTATGACTGACAGACCTAGAAGGATATTCTAGTTTATCCATTTCTAACTCTTAGTGTGGATAACTTGGAAAAAGTCACATTTTGTCTTGTTTTGTATTTCTTATTTCAATATAAATGTCATTGTGCTACTTCATGAAAATGAACACCTGAGTGCACAAAAGTATTCAAAAGGTAATAGTGTCTTTGTGGAATCTTTTGAAGTTGCTCCTAAGCTTCACCTAATCCTATTGCCTAGGGAAAGCCTGTTTTAACAATTTGGTGTTTTCTCCCATATTTCAAATTGGATTTGTATCCTGGCAGTGCCATTTAGCAGCATCATGATCTTGGGCAAGTATTGACCTTCTTGTGCTCAGTTCCCAAAAGTTAAATTGGGATAATTATGGTGTCTACCTCGTAAAATTAATATCACAGGTAGAGAGGAGCTCAGACATTCCAATAACTACTGAAAGTGTTTGTTCAAAGAAATAGTTTGCCTACATGATCTCCCCCAACTTCTTTGATATGCAAATGTCTTTATTTGAAGTATTGCAGCTTGTCAACAACAGTCTTCAGTTCTTGTCCTTTCTTATCTCTCCAGCTTCATCTTTCATCCCTCTATTTCTTTGTCTCCAAATATTTCTACCCCTCATTAATTCTTTAAACATATTATTGTAATACCTCATGTAGCCTGTTATTGACACATTTCTTCTAAATTCCTATAACAAAGAGTTTTCTATGGTCCCTCAAAATTTAATCTTAACTTCTCAGGAAGCTATCTTCAATCTATTCTGTGTTAAGTTCACTCTTTACTCACACATAATTTTGATTATATGTTTCACTATTTCCCAGAAATAATATAAACTCCTGATGACATTATATGTATTTTTAAATATCCCCATTACTAAAAAAAATACCAAGCCACAATATATATTTTTTCTATAGTAGATAAACATATGTATGACCTTTTATCAATAAGTAAAGTGTCACTTCTATTGTGCTTTAGATTGGAAAGTCACATTGGTTTATTTATTTATTTTATTTATTTTATTTATTTATATATGAAATTTATTGTCAAATTGGTTTCCATACAACACCCAGTGCTCATCCCAAAAGGTGCCCTCCTCAATACCCATCACCCACCCTCTCCTCCCTCCCACCCCCCATCAACCCTCAGTTTGCTCTCAGTTCTCAACAGTCTATTATGCTTTGGCTCTCTCCCACTCTAACCTCTTTTTTTTTTTTTTTTCTTCTTTTTTCCCTTCCCCTCCCCATGGGTTCCTGTTAAGTTTCTCAGGATCCACATAAGAGTGAAACCATATGGTATCTGTCTTTCTCTGTATGGCTTATTTCACTTAGCATCACACTCTCCAGTTCCATCCACGTTGCTACAAAAGGCCATATTTCATTTTTTCTCATTGCCACGTAGTATTCCATAGTGTATATAAACCACAATTTCTTTATCCATTCATCAGTTGATGGACATTTAGGCTCTTTCCATAATTTGGCTATTGTTGAGAGTGCTGCTATGAACATTGGGGTACAAGTGCCCCTATGCATCAGTACTCCTGTGTCCCTTGGATAAATTCCTAGCAGTGCTATTGCTGGGTCATAGGGTAGGTCTGTTTTTAATTTTCTGAGGAACCTCCACACTGCTTTCCAGAGCGGCTGCACCAATTTGCATTCCCACCAACAGTGCAAGAGGGTTCCCATTTCTCCACATCCTCTCCAGCATCTATAGTCTCCTGATTTGTTCATTTTGGCCACTCTGAGTGGCGTGAGGTGATACCTGAGTGTGGTTTTGATTTGTATTTCCCTGATAAGGAGCGACGCTGAACATCTTTTCATGTGCCTGTTGGCCATCCGGATGTCTTCTTTAGAGAAGTGTCTATTCATGTTTTCTGCCCATTTCTTCACTGGGTTATTTGCTTTTCGGGTGTGGAGTTTGGTGAGCTCTTTATAGATTTTGGATACTAGCCCTTTGTC